ACCAATGGGATTTAACCAATGGGATTTGGGTTTTAGTGGGCGTTTGAAAATTTTAAGTTTGGATGGCAACTATAATTGTGATTATACTTGGGAAGGTTTAAAAAAAATAGTACCACAAGCTCTTACATCAGTATCATTGAGTGAAATTAGACAATATTTCTGAAAATCCTTTAGATATATGGATGCATATCGTAAAGGGTTAACTGGAGAAGCTGCTAAATATGCAGTAAAAAAATATCGATTGCATCGTCGTATTCCGGATTCAATCTTAATTGATATAAATGTAACAAGAAATTAATAGTTATATGTATAGCTTTATAATGAAATAATGATCTTAAATAAAATAAAGTCACTTAAAATGATATTATATAAATACAGTATGTAATATTTATTTTAATAGTGTTAGAATAGAATTTTTTGATCGCAATTGTGATAATATACAGTAATTTTGCATTGTGAGACCTGATAGTGATAAATGAATATAATAGTGTAATAATGATAGAGGAGGAAAAGGAACCAAGGTATATATAAATAGGGGAGTGTAATGATGATAAAGGAGAGAAGGAAACTAAGGCATATATAAAGTCATGATATAATAAAGAAATACTTTACCAAATTATAAACCGCCTTTCGCCTTACCTTTTACATTCTTTTCTGGGCTACGGTGACACAGGCTCACTAATCAACATTAACAATAGAGATCAACTAAAAATAAAATTAATGATTTTAAAATTTTAAAGCAAAGGTAACTTTTATAAATTAGATTTGTTTAAAACTAAAAGAAATAACAAATATTTAGTTACTAACTTACAACAGCAGCAGTCAAAAGATAGTAATACTCACCCTTCTCGAAATCCACCAATTGGCACTACATCATTACTATTACAATTTACCCACTTTGAAAAAAATTATTAAGAAAATTTGATATTTTGTAATTTTTTTTTGATCAATCACAAGCATATATTTCAAATCATATGATTTGAAGGGTTGACCAAATTCTCATTTTTTACTAATAATAATTAATAAAAATGATTGACTTTTAAAAGTATTTAACTCTATCAAATTTTAAAAAATCAATAAATGGTTCTGTAAATTTGTTCTTTTTATCTTTCTATATATTTTTACAAAAAAAAATTTGCAAATATTTTAATATTTTGTTTTAATAAAGAATTTTTTAAATTTGTTTTTTTATTTGTTGGTTTAAGATGTTCTGCACTATATTAAGATATTTAAAAAATATTTCTATAATTGAATGTTTTTATTCATTATATTGAAGAATATCTAATAAAAAAACTAATATTATTTTATCATAATTTTATCAATTACCAACACTCTTTTCCATATACATATAATTACTATATTTAGAAATTAGGCAAGGAAAGAGAAGAATGAGTTCGCAAAGGACACTAAAAGGTTCAAGCATCTCTTCCAGGCCCAACTACAACATCAGCAACCTCACCAAAGGCAAGAGTGGCTGAAAAAGCAAAGAAATAACCCTATACATAGTACCAAAGCTAGCAAAAAAACAACAACAGAAAAATGAAGCGATCGAAACACCCAAAGATAATACAACAAAAACAGCCACCCTGGAAACAATTGTATCAACCCCAACACATCAAAAACCAAAGGAGGCAACCCACAAGCAAAAGACCCAGGAACTATGGAGTGACAAGATAGAAAGAGTAGTGGCAGAAACATTCACGCAAATGGATAAAACACAGCAAAAAGCATACAAATACATCAGACTTGATAACTCCAATACAGAAATGGAAGAAATGGAGACAGACAACAACAACTGGAAAAGCAAAACAGAAGAAGAATAATAATGATTAACATATAGTAAAGGTAAAGGCAAATAACTGATGCAACAATGGAACAAACTCAGACCATGCTTTCCTTTTGATAGAAACAGTAGATATGATAGACAAAGAAGCAAAGTAGGAATCGATACTAACATGCTTCCAGGAAAAAACACAAGCCAAAAAATCCAATACTTAACCAAAGCACTTGAATGTTCTAAAAAACTTCTTGCTATCCGCAGTAAAAGCAAAAATGACCAAAAGAAGATCATAGCCATTTTTGGTGATCATCAAACCACAGAACACGCATGTAATATTAAGCTACCCAATATGGAAGACAAGCATCTACAACATATGCCAATGATCGACTTGAGCACAAAAAAGGAAAACAGTATCAGAGTATGGAACATTCCCCTGGACATCAGATATATCGAAGTATAACAAACTTTTACCAAATATGGACAAATTACAGAAATTGCAATGAGTACACAACAGATGTGGCAAACTGCAACTATCACTTTCGAGGACAAGACAAGCAAGGATCAGATTATCAACATGTGGAGCGTCTCATTCAAGGCAGACATGGTGCGGGTTTTCGATGCACAATGGGATCTCCCACAGATGAAACAGAGAGGACAAATCACAGTTAAGCTTACAAACTTACTATCAAATACAACAGCATTTGATCTACGTACCATACTACAACTAACAAAGGCAAAAATATGCTACATTCCACACAGAGGAACATACCAAAGGAAAAGATTTGCAGTCATCAGTTTTGACACAGTAGAGGATCTACAGAGTGCAATCAATGAAACATATACAATCGGTGAAACCTACTTAAAATGGACAAACATAGACACCAAATTATGCACCATATGTGACAACGACACACATCTAGCTGCCACATGCCCTATCAAAGAGAGAAGAAACCAATGGCATGCATACAATCAGGAACAAGCATTAAAGTTCGGAAAACTTTACAAGAAATACAAACCAGCAAAAACCAGTGACATTAGGAAATACACTTCAATGCAATAGCAAAGAAAAGAAGGCAAACCAGGGTCATATGCTGCAGCAGCACATGCAACCCAAAAACCACAAAGCAAAATGACAAATTCATCTGGTTTACAAGAAGTATTGTATATTCTTAAACAACTACAAGAAGATATAACAGAAATCAAACAACAGATCGTAAAAATGAATGAAAGAATCATGAATTTAGAATACTATGATAAGAATGGTATGGAAGCAATGGAGAAAACAGAATTCACAGAAGATCAAAACAGTGAAAATAACGAACAGCAAATCACATATGAAAAGAATCTCACAAACAGAAGCATAATCCAAGACATACAAACACAACAGAAACAAATATATGTAACCATTCAAAACACTAACCAAACCATAAACAACCTTATAAACATAATTCACAATTTCACCTCAGGAGACACAAACAACACCACAAACAACTATTAATGGAGAACAATCAAGCCACCAGCATAAATGCATAAGAAATTATCTTTAATCTTTCAAATTTTTATAACTCAATCGACAGATATCTAAACAGTGAAACACAAACAATAGAAGAAATCAAAGAACAAACAATCGAGGAAAACCCAAGAGAACAAACCGAAGACACAGCATCACAACAATTTTAAATATATTGGACCTACCTACAAATGAACAAACACAATGATTTCAATCAAGACAGATCAGGACTAAAACCATGGAAGACATGGAAGATCGCAACACACAATGTCCGCAGGTTTAATGACATCATCAAAAGAAAAATCTGATTAACATTCTGCAAAGAGGAGAGAATAGATATTGGAATCCTCACAGAAACACAGATCACGACAGACAAATCCAAATACTGGAAAATGCATGGATACTATACTACCTGGTGCAACGATAGAAAAGGAGGTGGTATCATAATTATGATCAAGGAAGACATTGCAAATCACATAGGAAATATTCAGACATACCCAGGTAGAGGCATATGTATAGACCTAAATTACAAAGGAAACAAACATATTAGTATAATCGAAGTATACATGCCATGCAAAGGAAATTCAGATTACCGTCTGGCTACAAAATGGGTACAAGACAAAATATGGACAAGACATAACAAGAATTGGCACATAATCACTGCAGGGGACTTTAACGCCCTACACAATCCCAGCATCAATAAGAGACCACCAGGAAACAACCGAACACCAACATCACACACAATACAAATACTTATTCAACTCAACCATATAGATATCTTCAGAGAAGTATGGCCAAATAGAACACGTTTTACCTGGACCAACATGCGCACAACACAGACCAGAATCGACTACATATGGATGTCACCAAACGAAAGCTGGAATCTCATCGATGCAGAAATAGAGTTATTCAACATAATAACCAATAGTGACCATGACATTGCCATATGCAAAATTGAGATCACTGAGATAACAATCCAATTGAAACAAAAGTGCAATTACAAAAGACACAATATATTTGATACCAAAAACATTACAACCAAACAATGGGAAAACTATAAACAGCAAGTGGAAAATGCCATTACAGAACAAGACCAAAAACAAAATTTTAAAACATGCTCAGCAAACAAAATATAGAACCTAACATGGGATGCCATATGTAAGGTGATGTATCAAAACATCCGAAAAACAAAACAAAGACCTAAAGAAGCTCTTCACAGACAAGGATGCAACAAACACATACAAATCATTAAACTAAGGAACTCAACACATGGTCCAGACAATTCTTTATACTCAACAAAAGAACAACCAATATCCAAAACAATATTATAAATATGTTGAAAGAAATAAACATAACAGAATAGCACATAGAAAACCCCCCCTAGGAGGAGACAGATTCCAGATCTAAGAAGGTAAAAGATTGGATCAAGCAAATAAAACAGACATACATGATAATGAAAAACTCTTTGAAAGAAAATGATCACAACAATTGGAGAAAAAAGATCAAAAAACAGATAGAAAATAGAATATCCAACTTCTTAGACAACAAATGAAAAATAATCAACTCAATTCTTAACAAATCAACCAACAGTATCACAATGAACAAGCTCATAACCATAACCCCCGAGCTCACAGTTACAACAGAACCAAAAGAGATTTTAAACATAATAGAAAAACATTATTAACAGGAAAAACCAAGAGAAAAAGAAATAGAGTATTAAGAGTGGAGAAAATGGAAACAAGAATACTGACCAAAAGATACAATCATAAGTTCATGGTACCAAGAAACAATGGCTACAATTATGACAGAAGAAGTAAAAGGAATTATCAACAAAATATCAAATGACTCAGCACCAGGAAAATCAGGAATAAGCTACCCAATGCTAAAGAAACTAGGTGAAAAAGCAATCAACAGAATAACAAAGCTTTTCAATAAAATTTTACTCTCAGGAGAAATATCACAGAGATGGCAACACAATATCATATATCCCATCCCGAAGAAAACAGATTGGCAGCACCAGCTTAATTGGACAAGACCCATCACACTACTCGAAATAATTAAAAAAGTATTCACCAAAGTTATCAATAACAGATTAGTACAAGCATTTCTGAAACACAAAATACTATCAGACAGAAACTGGGCAGGACTATTGAAAGGAGATACACAGGAACCAATAAGCATAATCAACAACATATTAGAGGAAGCCAGAGAAGGGAAAAAAGAATGTTGGATCCTCAGCCAAGACATAAGCAAAGCGTATGATTCAATACAACATGACCTATTGGAAAAAGCACTCAAGAGAATTAAGATACCTAGCAAAATCATAATAATAATTACAAACATGCTAGAGAATCGTAACAATCAAGTAATCACATGTCATGGCTTGACCAAACCATATAAACCAGGAATTGGAATAGACCAAGGAGATACCATCTCCCCACTATTATGGAAAATATATTACGACCCCTTCATTTGTAAGATTGAGGAATCCAAATTGGGCTATAAATTTGAAATCAAAACCCCAACAAAAAGGCCATGCAAATGGAACACAAAACACGAAAGTGTAGCATCGATTACATATATGGATGACACCTGTTGGATTATGAAGAGTTGGAGAAATATGCAAAAGTTACCAACACTGTGAAAAGCTTCACCAAAATCGCCAACCTAACAATAAATCCAGACAAAGCAGCTCTTGTTACAATTAACCCAATAACAAAAAAAGCAATCAAAATGAAGAAATTCAAAATACATCAGAAAGGGAAAAAGGAAGCCATCCGAATATTGGAAGTATGGATCACAGCCACTGGAAACAAAACACATCAACTGAATCTCATCAAACGAAAAGTATAAATCACAACACAAGCACTCAACAGAAGCCAGATTATAGATAAACAATATAGATACATTATCAACCATGTACTATTTCCAGCCATAGAATATCTTCTACAAGACATAATTATATCAGAACACGTATGCAAGAAAACAGACAGCATGATCTGTGCATTATTTAAACACAAAAATAAACTCCCAATCACAGCTATAAACAGTGGTATATATGCAGATTTCGGATACAAAATCTTCAGCATTCAGGAAAGATAAGTCCAACTTCATATCAAACGAATATTGAAAGAACTTAATAAAACAAACATTTGTGAAACAATCATGAGAGGACGGCTGCAACAAACACAAAATCATGCATGGACAACAAAAAGTATCCTAATAAATCCAAATATAATCCTTAATGAGAATAAAAGCCTCATAGGACAATGCCTTATTCTGTTGGAGAAACAAAAATTCAAAGTCATAGAAAATGTCACACATGGACTAGTAAAAACAATCAATGGCAAGGGATACTATATATTACAAGAAACAATGGAGAAAGAGTGGTTCAAAGCCAACTGATCAAATATCAAAAAACATAATATCATGTTTTTCGAACAACTGACCAATGGATTTCAAACACATTTGCTAGAATGGAGACAGATCAAAGCTATAATGGGAAAAAAACCAACAAGAAGATAACTCAAATG